ATCAAGCTGGTCAAGGTGTGACGAGCAAGACAGAAAGCAGCATTCATCCACATTGTCTGCTTTAGTACTTGCTCCTGGTTTCCACACTTCTTGAATTCTGGCTTAACTCCCTTCAGTGATGGACTGTAACCTGGAAGTTGAGGTGAAATTAACTATTTCTTCCACAAGTTGTATTTAGTCATGGTCCTTATCAAAACTAAGTCATGGCTATATTTTAAATAATTTTAAAACAGCAGTATTTGATTAAGAACTATATGTTGAAGGTCTAAACATTTAAATCCTTTCTTCTTTCCTAGTTGTGTACCTAATTTTTTTCTAGTAGTTTAACATACAAACAAACAAAAAATTCCATTTATACTAAAAAGCTGGCTGTGACCTTGTTATTCCAGATTACATTCCCATCCTAAACACTCCAGAACCACCCTATTATGAAAATTACTGAAAAAGAGAAGTAAAGAAGGAAAGAGGGTTGACATTACTTTGAGATGTAAATTGTTAACCAATAAAATAAGAGAATCCCATGCTTCAGGCTCCTCTTCATAATTCCCTTGTTTATAACACAATCAATATGAATTATAGGATTGGAACTTGAACAATATTTGGGTACAGAGCAAAGTTTTGTACATAATAATGAAAAATATCAAGATAACATATAATGACAAGAAAGTTGAGTTTAAAGTTTATGTCTCAAAACATAAGGTGTGCTGGTCACTCTAGAAATGGCTTGATATTGGTCTCTAGTCTTGAAATGCACCACATGCACATATATGAGCTGATATATAAGCATGCCAGAAGTATAAGGACACACACATGCACATATATCACAGTAACATACACTCACACACACACACACAGAGACATAGACACAGAGAGACAGACAGAGAGAGACATATAGAATAGTTGTGTATTGATTAAATACAATGACTGAACACTCCAAATAGTATTTAAGAATATGGTAATTTTGAAATACTGATTGTTGATAAATTATTTCATAGCTATATGTCTGGCCAAATGTCTGAAAGATAACAAAACAAAATATAGTAAAGGTATTAAATTATAAGGTAAAGGGTTTACTATACACAGCTTTCTGAGCTATTAATATTTGTGTAGATGCGGCATGTGAGTGAAAGCACTTGTTACGGTGTGCATCTGTACACTAGAGGACAACTACAGAGGTTAGTGCATGTCTTCCTTCATGGATTTCAGAGACTGAACTCATGACCCTAAGCTTTTATTGTCATCCCTTTTTATCTACAGAACCATCTGTAGCCCTGTTGTGATTTCCTTGAAGTCAGATTCAAGTAATATAATATTTTCTCATACAAGAAACATTATTTTTCAGTCAGATAATCTGCTCTGCCTTTTTTATTGTCTGGGGTAATTTCTTTCATGTGCAGAATGTTTCATTTTGATGAAACCCCATTTGGTTAATCTTGTTATTGCTATCAGTGTGTATGGTATAATATCTGAAACTCACATCAACCAAGCCAACTTAATACCGTTTTGAATATTGTATCACTGTGATTTTTAAAGGTTATTAAAATAGGACATCTTAAACAAAAAGACCATCCTGAGAGAGATAACCCAGAAGCAGAAAGACACACATGATATATACTGACCTATAAGTGGATATTAACCATATAACACTGGACAAACATGCAAATCTCCCTTTCTTTACATTGTACTCACAGGTGCCTTACTCACGTACTATTATAATAAGCAAACACCACTGTGTATAAAGGGGAAAAATATGTAGTCAAGATCATGATACAGCCATGGAATACTCCACACTTTCTTGCTATACACAGTATATATTAAACATGGGTGTTTTGGATGGCAGTAACAAAGAATTATAGAAGCCCTTTTCCCCAATTTTTACTGACAGTTTCTATTGCTTTCAAGACCCCAAGTGACCGTATTTAAGCTGAACATATATAAAACCTAAATCTACATGAAGCCATTATTAAATCCGTCCTTTCCACCTCATCATTTGGTTTATACTGGGACATGTGATAGGATCCAGAACTAACACTGAATATCAAAGTTTCTTCTGTTGAAGTTAGGGGTACTGTGCTCCCATTTTTGTCATATGTGCCATAAACACACAAAAGAATTTAGGCATGGACTACACTGCACTTTTTATTTAATAGACTGAGAGTGTATGTGTGTACATGAAGGTATGTCACTCAGTAGCATAAGTTAAATCTTATCCTATTGAAGTAAATTCAAAGGTGTTCTCACCATGACACAATATTTTTAAGAATGGACCAGAATGTTTGTATTTCTCTATCAGTGAATGTCACAGGAGTGTACAAGAACCATAGGTTTTCATGATATAGCAGTAATTAATGTAAGTTTATTGCAAAAGAAAAGAATTATAGTATTATTGTGCAAATTAACAAAAGGGGCTTCGACCAAGCCTTACATAAACAATGATCAGTTTCTTTAGTCCAGTGCCTGTCATCTTTTTTGAAATGCATATAACTGAAAGTGCAGAGGAATGAATGTAAAACACAATAAACAGCAACAGATGGACACAGTTCGGGGCAAGAAACATGTGCAAAAAGTCTAATTAATAACAATTTCTCCTGATAAGAGGCAAAAGATATTCAAGAATTTTCTATTTGCAATATGGTTTGTCTGGTTTTAAATGGCACCTACCTGAATGCATAAACTTCAAATTATTTGCAAATAGGTTGTTTCCTTGCATCTTCTTCTATCAGGTTGTCTGTACGCAGCACGAATTTGCATCACTGCTACTCGAGTCTACTCTTCACTTTCTCATTGCTGGAGATCAAGTTTCTTCTCACCATTCAACTGTCACAAGAATGTTACATTCATGGGAATGCTATTTTTATCTCAAATCTTGTTAAGTAATAAGAGTTCATAACTTCATGGGAGTCTAACTTAACATTCATTTAAAATTTTATTAATTCTTGTATATTTTAATCATTCAAGAGCTCTACCACTAGTGCTAACTCATATTGTACTTTAATATTTTTTCAAGGTCACTTTACTATATCCTTCAGAAATATTCTTTCCTCACACTGAGATATGAAACAGTCCACACAATGACTTCCCAAGTGATTTAGCATCTTTTATTTTATGATTGCTGAAAGTGAAATAAATTATCAATAGATAGCATTTTTTCTTTATTATATATATATATATGTACACACACACACACACACATATATATAGTTTTTGTAGATTTTTTGTGAATTTCACTTTATGCACCCCTGTCCTACTCATCTCCCTATCACCTGTCTGCCCTTTTCTCTTGCACCACCCCCAGTAAAATGCAGACAACAGACAACAGTGACAATAAAAAGCATAGAAAACATCACATCTTGGAAGCTATCCTGTGTCACAGTGTGTCCAATAGTATCCTCTTCTGTCCACACGTCTTCACTTCCAAATGTTCATTGCAATAAGTTGGAGATCTTTGGCTTCTGTGACACCATCAGCTTTGAGTCCTCATTAGGATTCCTCCCAGTTATCCTGTTGTTGCCCTGTGTCATGGAAATCCTGTAGCTTTGGATCGGATGGACTGGTCCTGCCACACATCCCAACCATTCAGATAGGATATAGAGTTTGGGGTGGCCATCTCAGATCCCTGGATCTGGGTCTGGGTCGTAGCAGAGCTTGTGAGCCTGCCAACTCTTCCTTATGTGTACCACCAGGGCAAGCTCTCCTGCACTGCTCTGACCAAGCCACCTAACACCATTGTTAGCAGAAGGCGGTGTCAGAAGTCAGATCTTCTGCTCTCATGCCCTCAGGGCTTGCTCATCAGAACCCCAACCTGCAGAGTCCAGTCAAGGTTAGGGCCCACTCTCCTAAGTGCTGCAGCCTCTGAAGAACTGGGCAGTTCTCCTGCTCTGATCTTCAGAGGCCTGCACACCTGTGCCCCCTCTACCAGGACAACTCTATTGTGCTGCCCAGGCAAGCTTTCAGGGGCCACTCTCCCATATGCTGCAGGGGTTGAGTGACAGGGCCAGCTCACACAATTTCATCACCTCAAGCCCAGTTCTCCCCACTGCTGCAAGGTGAGGGGCAAGGTGAGGCCAACATCCCTGTACCCATGCCACATCACCCCAGATGAGTGGTGGACCGTCTGTCCTGAGCTTTTCACCTTAGAGGCTGGCTCACCCACATCCCTTTAAAGAGGGAAGCCCTACTGTGCTGCCCAGGGGAGATGCTGGGCCCACTCTCCCAAGGAATTAAGCAGGTCTGCAAGAGATAGGGTAAGCTCACCTGCTCTCATGACCCCAGGGCCAGTTCTCATGACTGCCATATCAACTGCAGGGAAGGATATCCTCTCACCCATGGCAGATCAGTGGCAGGGGCCACTCTCCTGTACCTTAGGGCCTGGCTCACCTGCTCCCACATAACCAGAGCCAGCCCAACTGTACTGGCCAGGAGAAGTGCTGGGCCTGCTCTCCCAATTTATGCAGCCAGTGAAAGGTTTCCAATTGGGGAAGACACTTATGCACAGCCCTGAACATCCATTTGATTCCTGGAGGCTGCCCTGTCCATGGGGTCCAGGGACATCCCCATGATCTTTATTGGTAATATGATCCAGGGAAGCCAGGAACACTGGCATCAACTCCTGCTGCTGTGTAGCCATGAACTCAGACATGGTCTTCAGTGGCAGCTCAGGCTGGGAACTCATCATAGCCCAGGTGATGGGCCCAGCCACTCCTAACAGGCTACTCCTCTCCACCCTCAAGTCTTCAGGTTCTTTTCTCTCTGCTCCACTCCACTTTATCTCCCATCTGACCACCACATATTTACCCATTGTGGTGGCTCTTAATGCAGGCTGAACAAGTAGTGGGCAGACTCCTGGGCAACATCCTCCCTCCCTTCTTTGTGATGTGGTGGCGAGCTGGCGAGCTGTGCCTGAGTTGGAGGGCAGTCATGTGGGTTGCATGGTGGTCTACAGGTCTCTCCTCTTCCGCACTGTGCTCCCTGCATTTAATATAATTTGATTTGATTTGATTTCATGAGTCCTAAGCATAAGACAGATTTGGCCACCAAGCCATGCATCAAGGTAAGATGAACAAAGGCCTGCCACCTGCTCTGCTCCTGACTGATATAAGAACAGCAACAACAAGACATCTCTTTGTCCATTGCCAGGGGGAATAGATGCCATATTTGGTCACAAGTGGAATTGTTTTCAGCTTAGTCTCTGTTTTAGTTCAGCTTTTTACACTCTTTTCAGAGAAAATAGCATACTCTTATTTTTGTTATGCTTATTTTTATGAATTTGATTATCTTTGTTGGTGGCCTACTGGTGTGTCTGCTTTTCTTATTGTAACCCAAAACTATCATAACGATAAATGAATATCCAAGGAATTTAACACAATGTACTTCTTCAACTCTTCATTTAGGAGCCTGTCAACATCTTTAAGAGATTTGAGATTTCACCTTTGTCTCATCATATTATTTTAATAATTTTCTAAATATTAAGTTGTATAGAGTGTGAGTGATAACAGAAAACTAACATACCATCCCTTTTAGTACTTAAAGTAGGCAAACACATATTGAGATAAATCTTTGAAAGCAGTGGTATACCTCCATACTGGGATTTTACTGAGCTCAATTTTGTGCAAGCCACTTGCATATGGTCACACCACTGTGAATTCATATGTGCAACTGCCCATTTATGAGCTACACTTATACATTTACTGTTTTTTAATAGTTAAATGTAATTTCACTGTGTATATTCTACAGATTTGATGATCCATTCATAAGATGATGGACATCTGGACTATTGTCATTTCCCAGCTATTATGACTAACACATCAATCAACACGGGTAAGCAAGTATCTCTGCAGTAAGGGATAGAATGCTTTGGATATTGACTCAGGAGTAATATCATTGAGTCACATGGCAGACCTATTGCTAACTTTTGAATAGTAGCTCTAGAAATATTCACTCAAACCAATAATAAAGTTCCTCTTTTCCCTTATCCAAGACAGGAATCATTATTTAGTTTTTTTATTACTAATAATATAAAATCTCAAAGTATCTTTGGTTGGCATCCCCCTGATGGTTACAATAAATATGTACATGGGTTTTTATAAGCCATTCACATTTCTTCTTTTGAGGGTTCCCTATTTAGTTTCATTAGCTGTTTTAATATTTAAGCAAAATATTTTAATAAAAATATAATAATTTATAAGCTAAACTGAATGACAAATTAGTGAATCTATAGATTAGATTTAAGAATATATGTTAACATAAATAACTTTATAGTGAAATAGAGACCATAGGGGAAAAAAGTAAAATAGACAGAAAAATTAAAAAAAAAATAGTCATATAATAGAAACAAACCTAAAAAATTAAACAAAACAATGATTTCAAGATTCAGATATTAAATGTGACAGTATGGTCACATATAAAAATCTTTAACTCACTGAACAAATGCTGTAATGTACAGCAAAGCCAGACTTTAAAAAGAAGATTATCCTATTATCTGAAAATATTTCTTAACCATTCACATTTTTTTCTGAGACTTATCTATTGAATTCCATTACTTTTCTTAAGTTTAACCTTTATATTTTTTAAGTTATTTGTATTCATAGACAGGTATTCTTAGTCAGATGTATAGTGGGTAGAAATTTTTCTGTTTTATAAATTATTTCTTCAATCATTTTGGGTTTTTATTGTACAGAAATTGGTAAGTGACCCAATTATCAATTGTTAATCTTCAGTCTTAAGGAACTGAAGATTATCTAGAGTTATTTATTGAAGTCTATTACCTAAGCATGTTATCTGAAGTTAAGTAAAACTGTTCATAAACAGAACTAGTTTCAAAAAAGAAAGAAATAGGATAAGGATTTACAGTGAAAGGATTATCAATACTTCCTTTCTGTGTCTCATCTAATTTCCCTCTTATTGGCAATAGTTTTTTTTTTCTCACATAATATATCTTGATTATGGTTTACCTTCTGTCTAATTCTCCCACCTTCTTTCCAACTCTTTTCCATTCATATATACACACTTTCTGACTCTGAGCAGAATACAAATGGGTTTTATGAAATAATAAAATAAAATAGATAAAACAAAACCCAATACATTGGAAGCAAAGGAAACTAAGAAACAGTAAGGAAAACAACTCAGGGAAAGACACAGAGACATTCAAGAATCCCATGAAAACTATTAAACTGGAAGTCATAATATAAGCGCCAAGGACCTGGCAGGGACCTGTGCAGAGTCTGTACATGACACTCTTGTCTCTATGAATTAATCTGAGCTTTGATCATATTGATTTAGAAGGGATTGCTGCTTTAGTGTCTTCCTTGCTCTTTGTTTGGTTCTCTCACTCTTTCCACCTGCCCTTTCTCAAGCCATCATGTTAGATATTTGATGGAGACATTCCATGTAGGGCTGGGTGTCCTGAGGTCTGTCATACACTGTCTGATGTCTGGCTATAGGTCTCTGTCTTTGTTACCAACTGCTGTAGAGGAAAGCTGGTCTGATATGGCTGTTCAAGGCATTGATCTATGACTTTAGGAGAATGTCATTAAGAGACATTTTATTACTCCTGATTTTTTTTTCTTTGTAAGACAGCAATATTTGGTTTTAATTAAGTGCTTGGAATATAACGTCTCAATTTCATTCTCATCCAAGTAATGCCCAGGATTGGTTCCAGCTCATGGAATGGGTCTACTGTGATAGGTTTCCATATTATTCCTCAAATCACTTTTAATTTTAGATCTCCCTCTCTCCACTAATTCTTTTCCTTATATTCCTCCTATATTCCCCTCTCTATATTAAACTCTCCCAATGGAGCATCCCTCCATCCATTCACAACTATCTATTCTATTTCTTTTCCTCTATAAGATCAACTTTTACACTCTTGTACCTTTCTGTATACCTACTCTTTATGGTGATATGAATTATAGGTTGGTTATCATTGACTTAACAACTAATATTTACATAAAAGTAAATGTATAGCATACATGTCTTTATGGGTGTGAAACAATTCACATGGGATGACTTTTTATTACAGTTGCATTTATTTATCTGAGAATTTTTAAGATTTCCCTGGTGGGGTGACCTTACCAGGCCACAGAAAGAGGATTCAGGCAGTCCTGATGGGATATGATAGGCTAAGGTCAGATAGAAGGAGAGTAGGATCTTCCCTATGGTTGGACTAGGCGAGGGAGATAGCAGGAGAAGAAGGAGGAAGAGCGGGACTGGGAGAAGATGAGGGAGGGGGCTACAATTAGGAAGCAAAGTGAATAAATTTTAAATAATAATAATAGTAATAATAATAAGAAAGAGGAGAAGAAGAAGAAACATTACTGTTTTTGACCAAACTTTGTATTCAACTATATTCCCAAAAGTGTGTAGCAGTTGTAGGAGTTTCCTGGTGGAAATTTTTGAATCACTTAGGTATACTATCATATTATCTAGAAATAAAGATAGTTGGACTTTTTTCCCAATAAGTATACACTGGCTATCCATCAGTTATCTTATTGCGCAATCAATACTTCCAGAATTATATTAGGGGTAAAGAAACCAGAAAACTTCGTCTGGTAGCTAATTTTATTCAAATTGATTTTTTTGTTGTTGTTTTTGTTTTTTTTCTATTTAAGTGTTTATAGTCTTGCTCTAAACTGCTCTTCACGTATTAGGGTATTTGTTATATTGGATCCTTAATCTCTCCAGAACTTTTAACATGAGAGATTGTTAGATTTTATCAAAAGCCTTTTATGAATTTTATATGTTCTTTGTTCTCTCAGTTAGTTTATATTTATCAATTTTGTATGTTGAGACATCCCTGCATCTCTGCAATGAAGTCTACTTGATTACAGAGGAAAAATTTTTGATACACTCTTGGATTCAATTTGAACATATTATGTTGATATTTTAACACCTATGTTCAAAAGTGAAGTTAGTCTGTATTATTCATTCTTTGTTAGATCTTTATTTGTTTTGGGGTATCAGGGTAACTGTGACCTCATAAAATGAATGGAGCAATATTCCTTATGTTTCTGTTCTGTAGACTAATTTAAAAACTATTGGCTTTAGCTGTTTTTTATCGTCTGTTATAATTCAGTGTGAAAACCATCTGGTCCTGTATGTTTATTTTGGGTTGGAAGAATTTTAATTACTGCTTTACTTCACTACTGGTTATAGGTCTGCTTAAATTGCTTATCTGATCTCAATTTAACTTTGGTAAGTGGTGTGTACTGAGAAAAATTTCCATTTCTTATTTTTTATAAATTTGGGTATGTTGAATATTTACTGTCATTCAATTCTCAAAAGTTTTAAATTTCTATCTTGTTTCATTTTTTTATTCAGTAGTGAGATGTTCAGTTTCCAAGTTTGTATGCTTTCTGAGGGTTCTATTGTTGTTGATATCTAGCTTTAATCCATGCTGGTAAAATGCTGTATGCTATTTCAATTTTCTTTTGTCTGTTGAACCTGTGTATGTGTGTGTGTGTGTGTGTGTGTGTGTGTGTGTGTGTGTGT